ATTTTGTTTCAAGGATAAATAATATACGGTTTGAATCTCACTAAGGCTTAAAAGTAGTACATATGGGTATTAAAAAGAAATAACAAGATATTAGTCTTCTCTTCCTACTTACATCTATGAGTCTCATCAATAAATTTTAATTATTAGAATTATTAAAATATATATATAAATTATTGAGATATAAAAATATATGAATAGATAGAATATTTGATTATTTAAGTTTTTATTAGAATTTAGAAGGCTTATAAGTTGCAAGACTTTGAGAAGTCATTAAAATAAAGTCGTAGTAAGTCTTAGAGATAGTTATCTTACTTAGTTTAGCATTTTTTTTTTAATTGTGAGAATTAGTATTTGAAAAAAATTCCAAATTGATATCATTTTTTCAAGACTTTAGTTTATTCATTATTAGATAAAAATCGAGTGAACATACTATGACTAATTTTTTAGTGTGTAATTGCTTGATTGCAATTTTTTTACATGTTTTTTGTTATTTTCTTTCTTTCTATCTAGTTAAATTCTTCTCTCACTTCAAATCACCAATTACAAGCAATTCTTAATTGAATCCATCTTGTAATTTATATGAAGTGGTTAATTTTATCCTAACAACAATTTCATTCTCAATTCAACATTGACCTATTCAACAGGACTTTTTACAAGTAGGACAAAGAGTAATATTAAAATCCATTGGTGTAATGTTGTATTTGACAATAGCCATATTTATACACTCTTTTAAGTTAACACCAATAATTTTGATGCTTAGATAAATATTAAAGTGTTCAAACTTATTTTTGAATATAGTCTTTATAAATGTATCACTTATTTATTTATTTTTAGCCATATAGTACAAATATTTTTTTTTAATTAATACTTTTTATTTCTAAATTTAATAAAATACCCGAATATATTTGATCTTATTATAAAATAGTTTTTGACAAAAAATTATTAAAAAATATTTTTTTTTATTTAAATTATTATAATTAAGAATATAAATTTTATATTATATAATGAATTATTAAGTATTTAAGAACAGAAGTATAAAAAAGTCTAAAAAATAATATATTTATATACTAATTAAATAAAAAATATTAATAAGAAGCAATTAAATAAAATATTTAAAAATGACTATTGAAAAATAAAAAAATACTAGAAAAACTCTGTTTATGCTAACTACCAAAAAGGCTTGGTAGAAGGTTCTTAATGACCACAAGGCTTACAGCATAAGTATCTAAGTTATAATTTGCTTCTAAAATAAAAAATTATAAAATAGGTTTAAATAATCATATAATATATAAAAAAATAGTATTTTTATATTTATATTATTTTAAAATATTTTTTATAAAAAATACCTTTATAATATTTTTAATTAATTATATTTATTTAATTTATATTAAAATTTATTATATCATTTAAAAAAATCTAAGTAATTATTAAATTATTTTTTAAGTTGATGAAGTCTAAACTTATTAGAAAAATATTAGCAATTTCAATCTAGATTTTATACAAAGAAATTTAATAAGTTTATTGATTCATAAATAATATACTATTTTAAGATAAGACAAGCATCCAATCGTTTAATTATTTTTTAGGCCTTCACAACCACTTTTAAACAAGACGTTTTATATGCCATCAAGTATAATATATCTACTTCTTATAGTATTTTTGAGCATCAAAACTTTCTTCCAAGATTATGCTATTATACACATTATGTCTTACCATCTATTTTTTAAAATATTTATCTCTCATAATGATATTTATTTTAATTTTTATATTGTAAAATAACCTAACTGCTTCATTTGAAAAATTCAAGTAAAAATTCAAAAGATGATTTTTTTTTCTCTCTCTTCTATAAAGAATTTGTAAAAGATGATTTTTTAAATAATATTTTTAGTTTATATTGTTTCATTGTCAATGAATGGTTATTAATTTTTGTAGATTTTATTAATTAAAAATAAAAATAAATATTGAAAAATTTACAAGATTTATAAATGGTTCTTACATGCAATCATTAATATCACATTTATATAAATACAGAAGATGTTCAAATTTTTTTTAGCACTATCTTGAATCTTAGACTTCTTCTATTTCAAAATTTTGGTTTTTGTTTATTTTTGATAGAGGATTAGCATTAATTACTTCTTTTTTGTATTTATTTTTAATTTGTGATTTAATAAGTAATTAATAAAAATAAAAATAAAAACCTTTATTAATTAGAATAATTACAACAAACATGTAATTATATTATTTTAATTTAAATGATAATAGAACCAAATCTTTGATAATTTAATTTTCATAAGTTTATTTCGTATTAATATATAAGTTTATTATAATTCATTATATCATAAAATTTTAATAGAGTTTTTTTTATAAAAAGACATTTATGTTAGTTTTTTCTGAATCTTAAATATTCTTTAGCTATATCTTCATTGTATTTTTGGTACCAAGTTTTTAAGATAGAAGTAGAGATAGCATAATATTCCAAGGACATATAATACTTGCCACTCTTGAATCTTTCTACCAAAACCATCACCATACCTATTTTGGCACCAAATCAATTTATAAATTTATATAAGGAATATACATTGTATAAAGAGATATATTAAAGGAATAGTTGTTAAAAATGAGAAATAAACAAGGAGCTGAATATGTAACCAATAAAGTAAAATTTAGGTGGCCGATTCACCAAATCATGAAATTGAAATGAGGAATCTTACCACTAGAACCTTGTGGAGTTGGAATATTAGGCAAAAGCAATGCTAAATCCATTATATTTGTTATTGTTGTCATTTGCTCATGCTATGGTCACAAATGAGAAGAATGTTTGGTATCAAAAGTTTTTGAGGCATGAAAAGTAGGTTTACAAATCTATGATTTTTTTAGAATTATTATTCCAATTTTGTACAAACTAATCCCAAAACCTCTATTTTCAATTAATTGGCTTGGAGGTTATTAGCACCAATAATCATTATTGTATAACTTGAATGATTTAGAAGTAATTTAATTAAATATATATATATATATATATATATATATTGGTTTCTAAAGAATCACATTCTATAATTGTAAAAAAAATTCAAATTCTTCTTTTAAAAGATAAAATTGAACAAAAAAAAGATTGGCAACAAAAAACAAAAAAAAATGTATAAGTAGTTTGAAAGAAAATTAGAATTACTATTTCAAAGCCTTAGAAATTGCTCTTAAATTCTCTTTGTGGTAATACTAGCCAATCAGCACAAAAAAATATAATAACAAAGAAATTCAATTCTATTCAACTTTCAAGACATTTGAGAAATCAAATAAAAAGAGATCTTTGCATTAAGATCCTTTAAAATAATTACTTCAAAGTCTTATAAACCATTCTTATATTTAAAAAAAAAAATACCAATCATCCATCACAAAAGTCAATAATAGCCAAAACAATCCAATATCAAGAAACTTGTAAGATATTAAAGTGGTATTTCTACAGAATATCAGCATTAACTCTTTTTTCTTTTTTCTTTTTTTCTTTCTTTTCTTCTTTTCTTTCACTCTAAAGTTTTGTAAATTATTTAATATTTTTTTTTTTTTTTTTTCTTTTTTGTTACAAGATGGCTTTTATTAGACTTTCAATGGTGATTTTAAGAAACCATCATGCAAAGATTAATTATTATATATTTTTTTAAAGTGATTTCAACTATTTATTATTGAATTTGTCTTTTGCTTTTGAATTTTGCAATAATCTATTGTTTGTTTTTTTAATAGAAGATTAATATGTTGTTTGCTCAACTCTACAATTGAACTTCTAAAAAGTCTTAGGAACAACTTTTTATATTTTAAACTTCAAAATCTATTTAAAGAAAAAATACTTATTTATTCAATAATATTATTCAAAGTAGATAATGATCAAATTGGGTGTATTAGTCCTTTTATAATACCTCTTGATTATAGAAATTATAAAAATAAAAATATAATAGAAAAGAGATATGTTGTAAGAGATCCTAAGAAGCTTAATAAAGACCAAAACATACATTTTTATTTTAATAATGAATCAATCTATAGAAGATTTATAAAAATTTATGAAATTTGTATTAAAATTTTAGTACAAATAGTTATCCCAAGAGTATAAGGATGTCAAGATTGTAAAAGAACATACTAAATTCTATGTTATTTGAATATAATAAGTATCTATTAAACTTTTCATAAAAATAGATTTTTGTAATTTTTTTACTATAATTAAAATTGGTATTTTTTTTTATTTATAATAGAATTCTTCCATTTTTTTTTTACAAATTATAGTCTTTTTTTTAATTTCCAACTCAAAACCTTTTTATTCTTTGATTTTAATCATGTTTTATTATAACCATTATATAATCTCAATTTAAAATAATATGCAAATGTACCTGTATATAAATATACTTTGCAAACATTTTCCACAACAAATTGCTGCAATAGTTTAACAAGAAGTTGATATGTTTGTACAAATCATCTATAGATGATATGTCTATGCAAATCAACCTTAAATGAAATGATTTAGATCTTAATAAAGATAGCTATGTATTACACATGCTTCAAAGGTGACCTTGTAAAAAAAAAGATATAAATAACTCTTTTTAAAATTAAAACAACAATTCATATCAAAGATTAAAAACTTTTTGCAAAGGCTATGAAGTTTTTTTTAAAGGATTGAGGTTTTTATCACTAAATCTTGTATTCTTTAAATTACAAAAGTATTTGGATTAAAATATATATATATATATATATATATATATTCCATCTTTCATCAAAATTAAAGCCTCTCATTGCCATAATAAGGAAAATTAGTCAAGCCTTTATCATATCATTGAATTTATTAAAACAGATTTTAAAGAGTTCAGGTAAACAATTTAGGAGGTTACTTACACCACCTATGTTATAGAAATGAGTCTCAATCTTCTTATTAAAAAAATATTTGTTTTTAGCATGTAGTTATTCCATAAACGTGTAAAATCTAAAATTAGTTGATATTATGGATTTAAAGACTCTCATTAAATATATAATTAATAGACTTTATAGAAATTCATTCATCTTTTAGATATGTACTATGTAACATGCAACTTTTACTTTTACACAATCCCTCCACAGTTGCAATACATGAAACAGTCTATTCAAAATCTTATTTCAACCACTACTTTCACATCAAAATTATCTACATAAATTCAATATTCTATTATGCTAATGTCCTATTGTATACTTCAAAGTGTACAAGACTACACAAAAAGCACATCTTCCGCGGAGAATATGTATTTACTATACAAAATTTTGCTTCGCCTGGTCTGCAGCTAATGTCATTGACCTTCAAGAGCTCGCTGTCATCATTCAAGCTAGGAACGCACACTTGTCGAAGTGGTTTCTTACAGCTGGGACTGAACTGTTGGCAAATCATACCTTTCTTGCGTCGAGAACTTGGCCACTCACTGTAAGCAGAACCTGAAACAGTAGTGTTTGTGAACAGCTCGTGGTGAACGATCTGGCGTGACTATTCTATACAAACTGCAGTTTATCGGCCAGAAAAAGGATCTCGACGCTTCGTTACGAGTATGATTCATTATGTGCACTGCAACATAGATGTATGGCGTTCTGTTCTACGATGCGGTCAGTTCGCGTTGACGGAACGGCCCGTATACCGTACTTTTTCTCAATAAGATGTTGAATGTTAGATTCCAAGGCTGTGGGTTCGATGTCTGCAACAGGAGCATCCTTCGATGTGTGAGGCGCAGCCATGATATCCACCGCAATCCTCTAGAAGTGGGCAGAGTTTTTTAGCTGGCGGTTTATCGGCAAATGACATGATTAGTGGTTCGTTCAGCCCTGTCAAGTTTTGATCCATTCATCGTCTGAAAGCTGATGCATACATACCGTAATCCGGCATGGCGTTCGATAGTTTTCCTCTGAAGCGATTAAACAAACAATCGCGTTTTCCATCCGCAAGACTTCCACATCCTTCGAGCCAGGCAAGACCAACATTCAATCGAAACTTCTTCCAGCAGCAACCACATCGAACCTAAATTCTTGTCACACCAACCCTAAGGCAACGCTGGTCTCGTAAGAGCATACAAAAATCCTCATGCCTCGCGGCAGTATCAGTTAAAAAAACATACTCAACACGCAAACTGCATCCAATTCACCCGTCTGATCCTGAAAGACACCACCACATGACACGATCCCAACCTCACAAAATGAGAAATTTCGACAGATTCACAGCTAACGTTATTGGAAGTGAAAAATCATGGAGAAAATCTAGGAGCAAATTCTACAGTTACTTTAGTATCCAGTGATCGATCCACAAAAAAGCAAAAACCAGCATCGGCCAGCGGATCTCGAGGAACGACTGCTGGAGAGAAGCTTCCACAAAGAGACGTTTCGAATTGTACTGGCCCCAAAACTTCGTGACAAGTTGAGGTTTTGAATGTCGCGGCGAATCAAGCGAAGCAATTTGTCGAAACCTGCGCGCTCGTCGATCCAGTCGCCATGCTCCCGCATGGTGCTCGTGTCACGAGGAACGCTCATCGGCCCACAATCCATACCTTCCATTTCGAGGAATTTGACCGCCTTGACCGGGCTCATCTTAGTCCCCACCGACACGTGTCCGTCTGAAAATGGATGAATGAATTTTATGTGAACAGTGTCGTTTTGGGATGTCACTCAAATCTAGATGCTTCGAAGACTGGCTCAACCAACGAAGGGTGGATGTACATTTGGGTTCTTACAAAGTGTGTTATGTTGTGTTGTAAGTGGTCTTGATTGGAGGCCAATTAGTTTCTGATTTCAAGCTTTTTTCAGTGAGTACATATATAAAAAATTATCTTATTTTCTCGAATTCTCTGTTTATAATTGATAGTATTCTTTCTTTTCTTATAGAATTTATACCTAAACCATAAAAAACTAATTACAAAAGAATTTAAAATAATATTAATATCTTAGCTAATATTTAACATGGAACTAAAACCATAAATTTTGAGTATATTAAAATTTATTTTTATACATAATTCATGAATAAATTATTTTATACAACTTACAAAAATATAAAGAAATTTTATAAGTGATTTCTCTTATTAATGTATTTGTAAAGAATAAAATAATAAATAAGGTCTTTTGTAAGGGTAAATAGAAACTGTTTTCATCTGCTTTATCTCCTATATATATTTATTTATTTGTGTACATACATTCTTATTACATCAAGTACAAAATTTATTTTTTTATCAAAATTTGGTTAACATCTGCAAGGCTGTTAGCCACAAGATTTTTATCTTCACAAAATGTAAAATCACACCTGAAAGAAAATCACTGAATAAATTAACACATAACCATTGATACAGTTTTGGAAATTGTTTACAAACTCAACATGAGCATGTTTGATTCATTTCATCAATTGCACATTATAACAAGATGAATATTCTTAAAAGTTGTTGGAGTGTTTTTAAAGTATATTTGTACTCTAAAAGTAAATTGTAGACATTGCAATGTTTTTGAGAGAAAAAAAAATGGATTAGAAGGAATTTTATCAAAAAACTTATGATGTAAAATTTTTAGACAGACCTTTCTCTAAAAGATTGGGCTCTTCTTAATATTTTATTTTTATGTTTTAAAAATAAACCATGAAAAAGTGGCCAATCTGAGCCTTTTATAAGAAACCATTACAAAGAGAAGATCCAAAAGATTTGTTAGGGAAACAAATTTTTTCTTTGTTTTGAAAGAAATCATATTTTGTAATTCATTTAAATAAGTAATTTTGCACCTTATTCATAACAATATTTTCATATTAATTGTGTTTCTTTTTAATCCTATATGTAATTGAAGAAACTTGTTTTTCAATACATTGTCTTATTTGGCAACCAAGCTTTTTTTTTTATCACTACATTGCTGCTTTGGACAATGTTGAGCAATGTGCGTGGATTCTTTGTAATATAGGTACAAATCCTATTGACAATAATGAGTCTTTTCTTGCTCAAAAAGAAGTTCTAAATATACCCTGTCAGTTTGTATAGACTTTGGCATAGATGTATAAGCTTCCAAAAACTTAGATAGTGTAACAATGACATAACTTATATCTCATAAACCAAATCTTTGTTCTTCATGTCTTTCAAAGAGTCAATTGTCGCTATCATAATATACATATGTATTCTAATAAATACCTATATGATTAAGTTGAAGTAAGTAAAAGTAGATAAAAGTAGGTTAATTTTATAATACCTTTTAAAGAAGCTTCCTAGAAGCTTTATAGATGCTATTTTGACTTTACATATATTTGTAGTTAATTAGTAAGTTAAAAAATTCTTCAATAAGTTAACTAGGTGTTGATAACTCACAAAAAAAACTAATTATATAGTGCACATATAGGAAACTTGCCTTGCAAGTAAAGATATGTATCTTGTAGAGTCAACACATTTAGAAGTCATATACGACATTGCCACGTAGCTCCTAGTTAAGAGTATATACGGAGGCAAGAATGGAACCTTCTTTATTCTTGTCAATGCCTTTCTAATCCTTATTCTTGTTTCAAGTCTTTCTATTCTTCTTATTTTTGACAATAGCTATTTTTATTCAATATTATATCATCTTTGAGTGACTTTTTAATTCTTTTTAGTGACACAAGAGTATATTGAGGATTTTCTTTCTTCAAGATTCATGTTCTTGATAGTTTGACAAGAGTATTAACTTATTGTTTTTTTTTCTTGTTTTAGAAGTGAATGGATTATCTCACTTTTATTGTTGTGCTTTAAAGGTTGCAAACTACCTACTTTTAAAGAAACAATCTTATTTTTTAGCACTAATCTTTTCCTTAAATGTTTAGTATGAAGCCTTGGAAGAAGGTGGAAGCCTAAGGATAAAAATTTAAACTAGTAGGAGGCTAATTGAGAGGGATGAAAATAAGACATGGTCGGATGAAGGCAAAGAATGGAGAACTTCATCCCTATTGGTCGAATATCATGCCTAATGGGCTTTGAGGAGGCTGCCCGCGACCTTAACAAGAGTTTCGGCGACTTCAAAGAGAAAATTCGGAGATTACAAGCTAGGTTTGTAAAGTTTAGGATTTGAGGTACAATTTGTGTGCAAAAAATAGAGGATTCGGAGTTAGAATGAAGAAGTTATAGCCGTTTGAAGTTAAAGTATTAATTTAAGACATATTGTTATTCTTTTAAGGATACAAAGAGTTTTACAGAAGCTTTTGAAGATTGGAAGGTGCAACAAGAACAGCGATTTCAAGACCTACATCTTTCATGAAAGAATTATTGCTTTTAAAGTTCATGTGAAGGAGTTATAAGGAATTGAAGGCAATGCTTCCAAATCAAAGGTAGTAAGTAAGCTGTTTTATTTGTAGTAATGGTTGGAGCCATAACTTGAGTATTCGAACAAATTTTTGGCTCAAATTTTTTGGAAAATATAAAATTTTGTGTTAAAAAGCTATACATATAAATTTCGTGGCATTTGAGCTTATATTTTGCTAGATATGAAGAAAATTACGTGCAGGTATATAAAGACAAGGGTTTGAAGCGACTATTAGGGTTTTCAAGATATCTCAAGATCCGCAACTAATTTGCGGTTGAAAATTGTTATAAAAGTTAATAAAAATACATCAGTACCTCATGTAAAATTTGAATTTGTTTGGACGGTCGGATTAGAAGATATGAGGTGTTGAAGTTTGGGAAAATCTCTACATAAGAATATACAAGGTTTTAGAGGATTTTATCATATTTTGGGTGTTGTTGGTTACTTGAGGCTTGTGTATTTGATGTAATTGCTCAAAAAGGGAAAATTTATATATAAACTTAGTGCTTCCCTTCTTTTCAAGCTTGATTGAATAATTAAAAAAAGCCAGAAGCCCAACATTTTCTCGAGGCAAATTCTCTCTACTTTGACACCGCAACAAGAAGTTGTATAGTTATAAGAAGCAAGTAGATTGACGTCAAAACTAAATCTAGGGAGTTTTGCTTTTATAAGTATGAAAAAGATAAGAATTATTGTGCTTATGAAGTTTAATGGAACTAGATCAAAATTTCAAAGATTTTTGGAACAAGTCAAGCTCTATCTAAGGTTGCACTTCTTCTAATATCCCAATGGATTTATCCAAGTTGGATTCACAAACATACTTCTATTATGAAGTGTTTTTTTTTGATTTGCACCTTTAATGGAAAAGATTAGTGACTCTTTTATGATTTGAATTCATTCTTAGAAGTATTTACGACCATAGTTGCAAAAAATAATTGAAGAAGATTAGCAAAAGTCAAGTTCTTATCTTTATAGCAAGAATCATAATTAGCCACCATATATGCTGTTGAATTCCAAAACCTCACTTGTGGCATAGATTGGAATGAAAAAGCTCTTATTAATCAATTTTAATATGAGGTGAAGGATAATGTCAAAGATTTGTTATTCACAATGCCAAAGGTCAAATTGTTAGAATAATTTATTGCTCAAGCCATTGCATGCAACAATTGATTATTTGAAAAATTTCAAGAATAAAGACTTGGTTAGAGAAGAATAAGTCAAATAATAATGATAGCTCCCAAGTTTTTAAAAATTCATTTATTAAGGCTATAATCAATGCAAATTAATATGATACATTTAAAATCCCTCATAGAGCATGAAAAGACTTGACAATATCAAGAAAGCTTATACCTATATTATGGAGAAGCTAAACATAGTGCTCAATATTGTCTAAAGAAACAATGCAACCATAAAATGAAAAGCATGGTTGCCAAAGAAAACAATGTATTGAAAAAGCAAGTTTTTCCATCTATAATAGAGATTATACGACTAAAATCTTATATAATTCCTAGTAAAAGTCTTAGTCTCTCTTCACATTTTTTATCTTGTTTTATAATAAAAGTTTATTAAGGACCAAAAAATCATAAAGTCTTACCTTTATTAGATTTGAAAGCCTCAGCTTGTTTTATAAACACAGATTTTATCAAAAACAAGAGATGTTAGTAAAAAAAAATAAAACTATACATGAAGAAGTCATAGATGGTCATTTTCTACCTTTTGTAGATGTTATGCATGAAACTGTACCTTTAGATATAACAAATAAAGATCATAATAGCATAATAATATTTATTGTAATAAGATCTTTGTATAATCCGATTACTTTAGAATTATCTTGGTTAAAAAATATAATCCTTAAATAGATTTAATTTCTTGTAATCTTAATTTTTTTAATAGTTTAATTCAAAATCTTGTAAGTCAAGTAGAAATACATAAGTCTTATACATCCAAACTTTTATTAGTAGATACTAGAGCTTTTATACATGCCGCAAAAAAAGAGTTATCTTTTGCTTTATAAGCCACACCAATTTCTCTTGGTAAGAAGACATTAAATGGTATTCCTAGCCAATATTAAGATTTTGAAGACGTTTTTGAAAAGATGAACGTAAATATACTTCTAGACCATCATTCTTATGATTGTTCCATTGAACTT